TGAACGATAAGTGGGCTAAGGTTCACCGCTCCCTTTAGGAAGGCCCGCATCCCTGGGTGTTGAGCTAGGGGTTGGCCTTGCCCACCGCCAATTACGGTAGACAGACCCGCAATTTGATGGTGGAGGGTGTTAGGTGTTAGTCCTTTGTCCATGTCCATCTGTAGGAAGTCCAATACCTGTGGTATGGTCACCCCAGTTGGGTCCTCACTTGTTGCCTGACACCATCTGCAGAATGCTTGCCAGGTAGCCTCGTAAATGCGGGTTGTTGACGGGCAGTGAGCCACCTGGATCGTGGAGATGACCTTATCAGAGAAATGCTGCTGACTCAGGATTGCCCACTCATGTGCCACATGGCTAACTGTAACAGCTGTGGATTCGAGTGGATGAGAGCTCCTTGCGATAGGGATATCGGTGTGACTAGCAGCACTTCCGCCTGCTCTGTCAGAATCTTCTGGATGACCAGCAGCACAATTGGCAGAGGCGGGAAGGCATAAAGGAGACCCACCAGCCAAGGGCTTCGGAGAGCGTCGGTGCCTTCTGCTCCTGGTACCTGGAACCTGGTGTAATAACGCGGCAGGTGTGTGTTGTCGGGTTGGGCGAACAGATCTACCTGCAGGTGGCCGAAGCGGCAGGACAGTTCTAGGAACAGGACTGGGTGCAAGCGCCACTCCGCCTGATCCACCGTGGCCCTGTCAGCCAGTCTTGGACGTTCACAGTGCCCAATATGTGTTCCGCTTTCGGACTGACAACAGATGGTTCTCCACCCAGTGGTGTAGGCATTCTGCTTCCATCATCAGGGCTTTGGATCTCATGCCCCCTTGGCGGTTGACATGCGGCTTGGAGGCCACGTTGTTGGTGAGTACCAGTACATGGTTGGAGGTGACCATGTCTCGAAACTCGCGGAGGGCTAGGCGGATGTCCCGTAACTCCAGCCAATTGATGCTGTTGTTCAGCTCCTGGACAGTCCAATGACCCTGCGCCACTCGATTCAGGATGTGGACCCCCCCATCCAAATTGGCTCACATCCATTGTAACCACAATCCGCTCCGGTTCCTTGAAAAGGCATCCCTTGAGGATGCAGGGCGACAGCCACCAACAGAGCGATAGGGACATCTTGATCGGTAAGCAAGCCCTGGTCAGAGAGGGACTGGTGTGAGCCCTTTGGAATGGGAGTAGATACCACTGCAGTGGTCATACGTGGAACCGTGCCCAAGGTACAACATCTATGCAAGATATCATCTTCCCTAGAAGTTGGGACAATACCACAAGGGAAGGTGACCTCTGCTTGAACACTTGACTCACCAGGGATTGCAGGCTCTGCTGTCTCTCCCTCGAGAGAGAGATCACACAAGTATCTGAACTGATGATTGTCCCGAGATATAGCAAGGACGTAGTCGGGTGCAGGTGGCTCTTTGGAAAGTTCAGCACGAATCCGTGATCCTGTAGGGTGTCAATTGTCAGCTGTAAGTCGCGATAAGCCTGGTTCCGGGAAGACGATAAGATTAAGATGTTGTCGAGATAACAACTGACTCTTATGGGAACTGACCTCAGCGAGGCTGTGACCACCGCTAGCACTTTGGTGAAGGTCCGCGGGGCTGATGATAGGCCGAATGATAAGGCGGAGTACTGGAAATGATGCCCCGCGAAGTGGAAGCGCAGAAACGCTTGGGCCGGATGCATTGGAACGTGCAAGTAGGCCTCCTTGATGTCGATGGAGGTGAGGAAATCACCTTGGCGAATGCTCACCAGAATACTCTTGGGTGAAGAGAGTATTGAAGAGTATTTGAAGTAGAAATTGAGCTGTTTCAAGTCTAGGATGGCCCGCCATCCTCCCGAGGCCTTGGGAACTAGGAAGAGTATGGAGTAGAAACCTAGACCCTCCTGTCCCCTTGGTACCTGTTCTATTGCTCTGATGGAAATGAGATGCTGGATTTCTGTGTCCATCAGGCACCTGGGTACCGGACATTTGATGAAATGTCTTGGGGGAATGGCCAGGAACTCCAGTGTGAGGCCCAGCCTCACTGTCTGAAAAGCCTAGGCGTCGGAGGTTATGGCTTCCCATTGGCGAACAAAGGTAGTTAAGCGCCCGCCAATAGGGCCAACCTCTAGCGAGTCACCGGTACCTACGAAAGGACCAGTTGTTGGCTCCATGAAAGGGCTGCTGGGCCTGGGCCTGTTGTTGGTGTTGGTTCCTACCTCTGTCCCTAGTATTGGACCTGTCCTGAAACCTGTCCTGGGACTGGGAAAAAGATCTATTAGATAGGGGGGTGTAGGGGAGGGATGAGTACCCCGACTCCCCAAAACGAAAGGGCTGCCTTCGAGGATATGGTTGTTGCCTCCGATCCAATGGTGTAGCCATAACAGGCAACGAGAAGCTATGTTAGATGCCACAGCTCGGGATGCGAACTTGGTCGCATTGAGTGTGGCATTCGAGGAGAATTCCAAAGCCGCCACCAGTTTAACCACATCCTGATGAAGGCGCAGGTCCTCTCCTGTAGCTGTCTTAACCAAACTAAGGAAGTTCTATTGAAGAATGAGGCTGCCGTAGCGGCACATGCTGGCCTGGTGGTTGCTCCCCCCAAATTGGAGGTGGCCTTGGCTTTGTAAAGAAGAGATTTGAATGGGGCTGGTTTGAAGAGGCCCAAGAATGGAACATTATCCTGAACCAGCCCTTCATCATCCGATAATTCCAAATCCAAAATCTCACCTTCCTGAGGGGAGAGATCAAACTCTGGGGTATCCTCCGTTCTGCTGCCAGCAGCCGTGGGAGTAAAGGTGGCTGAGGCCCCTGAATGGGAAGGGGTCTGATCTGAGCCAGGCCCTGCAGTTGGAACATCTTGAGAGAGGGGAAGGTCTGGGGACAAACCTTGAATTCCAGGTAGGTTGGAGGTAGAAAGCCCTTCAGGCAATAGGGTGGGAGGGGGTCTGGGAGTTGAGGGATCCCTAGGACCATTCTTGGACTTGGCAGGAGTTAAGGACCTGGACCTGGCAGGAGCTGCTGAGGTGGCCCGGGTTCTGAGGCTAGCGGCCCTGTTGGAAGCCCTACCCACTCCAGATGAGGCTCCAGTGGCATCGGAGGACAACTGAGGAGAGATGGAGGCCCCAGCGCTGCTCCTGGTAATAGAACAATCCGCCATGTAAGCTGAGTTGAAAGGTCTCAAGCTCACGTTCACTGAATGCCAAATGTCGATCGCAATCGAAACAGGAGGCTGTTAGGGATCAAACTCGTGCTCCAGTAGAATGGTGGCAAACCGACCTCTGTGGAGTAATGAATCTGGTGATTCTACGTCACTGCGGGTGGGAAACTGAAGCCATGCCCAGCAGGACTGGTTGTCTGGCGTGGAAAAGGGCTCCAAAATGGATGCCACAACCCAAAATGGACGCCGCAAGCAACAGCGAAGGCAGAAGATTCAAATCGCCGAGGCACAAAGGCCGTCGCCAGAATGGAAAATGCCTGCCTCAATTCTTGCCAGTGACCACAGCCATGGCCTCCAGAGGCTCCGATGGGATGTCCGGGCTCCACACTTCGTCGAGCAACCTCGAGGGGGGGGGAGCAGACAGTGGTGAGAGCGGCCAGCGTGGGGCAGCGAACCGATCCCCAACCGTGGCAAGACAACACGAAGGTGGCGAACCAACCTTCCCACAGTAAACAACGCCGCACCCCTGCCTTCAACAAGAAGGATCCCTGACTCCGCAGGCTCCGGGAACGCCAAAATCCATTCGTCACTGTAACCGAGAAATGAACCCCTTGCAGAGATATTTACCCTGAAGGGAACTCAATCNGCAAGCCACTCCCACCTGGTCACATGACTGGCAAGCCGCTCCCACAAAGCAGGCCACACCTCCCGAAGAGGTTCTAAAATTTTTTGAAACCCACCACTGTCACGAACCTATTGAAACCTAGTGCCACGAGGTGAGATCTTTGAAACAGTCATCACTCATTTTCTAGTGCTAGTTTGCTATTTGCAAAGTATGTTTTCATGTGAGGAAAATCATAAAATCCTGATTGGCTAGATTAAAACATTTTGGATTGGACCACCATCTATTACCCAGAATAAGATGGTAGAAAAAATTGTAAGTTTTAAAGGCTTCCTCAGTTGGGGAAAATATGAACGTTGGTTGAAAAGTTTTTCTCACCTTTAAATACAGAGAGTGCTTGACTTACAAATTGGGACCACAATTTTCATTGCTAAACAAAGCGCTTGTTAAGCAAATCATGGCATATTTTTTGACCTTTTTTATTATGACTGTTAAGCAAATTACTGCAGTCATTAAGTGAATAATTGTTGAGGTTGTTAAACAAATCCAGCTTCCTCCGTGGATTGTGCTGGATAGAAGTCCACTGGGAAGGCCGAAAATGGTGACTGGGTGACACTGGGACACTGGAGCTGTCATCAAAATAGGTAGTCCTCGACCTATGACCAAAATTGAGCCTAAAATTTATGTTGCCAAGTGAGACAGTTGTTAAGTGATTTTTTTGCCCCATTTTATGACCTTTCTTGCCACAGTTGTTCAGTTGAATCGCTGCAGTTGTTAAGTTAGTAACTCGGTTATTAAGTGAATCTGGCTTGCCCATTTACTTTACTTGCAGAGGGTTTCAAAAGCAGATCACATGATCACGGGATATTGTAATTGTCACAAATATAAACCATTTGCAAAACATCTGAATTTTGATCACCTGACCATGAAGATGCTGCAACGGTTGCAGGTTGAAAAACTGTCATAAGTCACTTTTTTTCCAGAGCCGTAGGAACGTCGAACGTCACTGAATGGTTGTAAGTCAGGACTACCTGCCCATGCTGGTTGCTAAGCATCCAAATTTTGATCAGGTCACTGTGGGGATGTTGTGATCATTGTAAATGTGAGGATTGTCTTAAGTCACTTTTTCCAGTGCTGTTGTGACTAGGAATGGTGGCTAAACAAATGGTCTTAAGTCGAGGACTACCTGTATCTGTTGTGCTTTTGACCTACCTGATGCTTTTGGTCTTTCTCATAATCAGAAGCCCCGGTGTTATTCGTGAAGAAGTTGGAGGCCAAAGTTGTAGAAGAGAAGCAGACGATTGTGCTCGAAGTTGAGCTATCCAAGCCGACCCCCGAGGTGAAGTGGACGAAGAACGCGAGTGCCCTTCACCCAACGGCCAACCTGGAGATCCAGGCACAGGGGACGAAGCACTGCCTGGTGATCAAGAGTGCATCCTGCGACGATCGTGGTTTTTATTCCTGCGAGACCCTCCATGACAAGACGCAAGCCAAGGTCACTGTAGACAGTAAGTCCTCTCATGGGGGCCAATTCCAAGGAATGCAAACCTTGTGAGAATTGTACAATGATGGAGGGGGACAGTGGAGAGCTTCTAGACCAGGCCAGGAAGGCTTGGACCATCCCAGATCAATAGTTGTCCAACTTCTGCTTGGAAACCTTTAGGGGTGGAGACCCCATGATTTCAAGAGGAAGGTTGTTCCACCCCTTCATAATTCTCATGGTTGGGAAATTCCTTCTTGGCGCTCTCTGAGCTGGGTGGTTTTCTTGCTAGATCTAGAACTGATGATATTACCTACTTGGGTCATGAGAGGTCTGGGAGCAGTGACGTGCGGTCAGCTTTAGNTTCCATCCTTCCAAGGTGGGTAAAAAGGGGGCCCAGATTATTTGGGGGGGGGGGGCAAGAAGCTGACTCTGAAAACCACTTAGAGAGGGCTGTAAAAGCACTATGAAGTCTAAGTGCTAAGGACTGTGGGTTTCTTGGTGCTCTCTGAGCTTGGTTGTTTTCTTGAAGATGTTTCATTACCCAGCTAGATAATGTCATCAGTGCTGGAAGAGAGTGGGGTTTCCTCTCTGTTTATGTAGAAGTGGTTTGCTCTGTTTCCCCGAAAATAAGACTGGGTCTTATATTATTTTTTGTTCCAAATGATGCAGTAGGGCTTGTTTTAGGATTTTCTGGTATTATTTTCAGGGAAATATGGTACTAAAATGCATCTATCTGGCTGATGATCTTAACTGGGGCTTATTTTTGGGGGTAGGGCTTATATTATGAGCATCTTGAAATATCACACCAGGGCTTATTTTCTAGTTGCGTCATATTTTGGGGGAAGCACAGTAGCACTGATCCTAGTTGCAGTGCGCACTGATTGGGAAATTGCTCCTTGTCCCTCTCCAACTAAAATCTGCAGATGAGGGACCACATTAAGGAGGCCTCTCAAATTTCAACAAAAGAACATTTCCTCTCTTTTATATCTTTTATCCTGGTCTATTCTTCAGTGCCTCACATTGTGAAGTTTATCAAGGGCCTCTCCAAGGTTGTGGCAGAAGAAGGCAAAGAGGCGGTTTTTGAATGCACCGTTTCCCCTAGCGACACACCTGTAAAGTGGAGCCACCGCGGCACCCCGATTGAAGCCAGCAAGAAATATGTCATTTCTCATCATGATGCCCATCACAGCCTCACTCTCACTGACCTGACGGTACAAGACAGTGGGGAAGTCACAGCTGAAGCCGAGGGAGAAGAGAGTCGGGCCCACCTCCGAGTGGAAGGTGAGACGGGGGTCCCTTAGGGATGGAAGGAAACGTCCAGCTGTGGGCTCTCGTTTCTGCGTGCTCTCCTGTTGGTTTCAACCGTTGCTTAATTTATATTATTATTTTACTTTTTTATTTTGCTTCATCCAGTTTAGCCTGTTTTTTTAATTTATTGCATTTTAATTTTTTATCTTATTTAATTTGATTTCAGCTTTTTTTAAATTTTATTTTAATTTTTTTAATCTTTTCTTGATTTTAGCTTGTTTTTATTTTACAGTATTTTAACTTTATTTTATTTTGATTTTAGTTTTTTATTTTATTGTATTTTGAGGTTTGAGGCCTGGAAGGCCTTCTGCACCAATCTCAAAGCCGAAACAAGGTGCGGGGGTGGGGGGAGGGCTGCACATGCCCCCCTGTGCCCCGGTTTGGGTCTGGAAGGCCTTCTACACCAACCTGAAAGCCAAAACAGGAAGTAGGGGAGCTGCACGAGGCCCCAAAATGCAATGCAAGCTCCCCCCCCCCCCGGTGCAAGCATGGCAGAGACCTGAAGACCAGCTGGCCGGCAGGAAGCAGCTGCATGTGCAGTGGAGTTAGGCTGGTGTGACAGCTGGCGTGCCCGCTGAGAGGGCTTCGTGTGCCACCTGTGGCACGCTTGCTGTAGGTTTGTCATCACGGACCAGGGGTGGGTTCCTGCCAGTTCTAAGCTCTTCTCTAGAAGAGATTCCACAAATCTTCAGTGCCGTTTAGAACCGGTTCCAGCTCCCTCCCCCCACCCATCTGGACATCATCAAGATGAAGAGCGAGAGGAGGAATTGTGGGAGTTGAAGTCCATAAGTCTTAAAGCTGTCAAGTTTGAACACCCNAGAGAGAATTATTTTGCGTCTCTTTAGGCTGGACTGAGTTAAAAAACTGAACCAGTCCAGTCAGAGGAGGCGTGGCCAGCAATTTGCATAACTCATTCTCTAGGCTAATGGACAAAGTTAACCCATGCTTGGATTCCCCAAGCAGCGCACAGGAGAACTTCAGGAGTTTGGCAAGAAAAGAACAACCATCTGGAGGATAACAGAATAACAAGATTGGAAGGGAACTTGAAGGTCCAAACCCTTGCTCAAACAGGAAACCCTGTACTATTTAAGATAAACGGTTGTCCAATCTCTTCTTAAAAACCAACAGCAACTTCTGGAGGGAAGTTGTTCCACTGATTAATTGTTCTCACTATCCCAAAGGTGTTTTTTCAAGAGGCAACTGGACTTTCTGGTTTTTCTTTTTCTTTGAAGACGTTTTGCTTCTCATCCAAGAAGTTTTTCAGCTCTCGCTATCTCCTTCAGTGTTCTCACTGTAAGGAAATTTCTCCTTAGTTCTAATTTAGTTCCCTCCTTGATTAGTTTCTACGCATTGCTTCTTGTTCTGCCTTCAGGTGCCTTGGATAACAGGTTGACTCTCTGTTCTTTGTGGCAACCCCTGAGATATTGGAAGATGGTTATCAATCATCTTTGTTGCTCTTCTCTACACTCTTTCTAAGATCTCAACATCTTGTTTACATCATGGTGACCAAAACTGGATGCAGTATCCCCAAGGGTGGCCTTACCAATGCATTATAAAGTGGTATTAACCCTTTATGTGATCTTGATTCTATTCCTCTGTTGATGCAGCCTAGAACTGTGTTGGCTTTTTTGGCAGCTGTAGCACACTGTGAGCTCATATATTGGTGATTGTCACTTAATGAGGATGACCAAGATATGAGGATGATCATATCTTATGAAGCATGAATGTGTAGATGACATCTCCTTTTTGAAGCCCATTACTTCAAATGTTAAATGTGTCTTGTGCTCTCTTCCCACATCTAGATGAAAAAGTTAAGGAAGTGTTTGTCAACAAAGAGAAGGTCCAGAAAGCTATCAAGGCTGTGTCTTCAGAGAATGTCTCTCTCAGTTGCGAGGTGGCTCAGTCCAAGGCAGAAGTGAAATGGTTCAAGGATGGGAAACTGATCACTGTGAGCAAGAAATTCAAAATAGAAGCACAAGGTGGATCCCGTTGTCTCATTGTGCAACAGGTGGAGAAGAAAGATGCAGGTGAATACACCTGTGAAGCTGATGGCCAGAAACTAACTTTCAAAATCACAGTTGCAGGTAAAATGCCCTTGTATTACACATATATTACTCTATCTCTCTATTTATTTATCTATCCATCCATCCATCCATCCCTCTCTCTGCCAAAATATCCTAAGGAGAAAATGAATTAAGAAGCTTTCTCCATTCCTTCCACCATTAGATAGAGAAGCTGAGGAGATATTTACCAACAAGGAGAAGGTCCAGAAGGACATCAAGGCTGTGGCCTCAGAGAATGTTTCCCTCAGCTGTGAGGTGGCCCAGTCCAAGACAGACATCAAGTGGTTCAAGGATGGGAAACTTATCACTGCCAGTAAGAAATTCAAGGTGGAAGCAGAAGGCAAATCCCGGCGTCTGGTTGTTCAACAGCTGGAGAAGAAAGATGCAGGCGAATACACCTGTGAAGCTGATGGCCAGAAGCTCACTTTCAAAGTCACTGTAACAGGTAACAACATACGTATTTTTTTCTTTATTTTTAGTTATATTGCAGGATATAAGCAGTATGGATTCTTTGTATGTTGACAAGTATAAATAGATGATTGATAGACAGATGGATATATGATAGATATAAATATATACTGATTGCAAAAAGATATGTGGCAATTATACTTTTTTGGGGACACACTATGAATTTGAAATAGCTCAAAGATTTTGATTGAATCGTTCTGTACTTTCTAGAAACAGAGAATGAGCTCCTATTATATTTCTTTTATCAAAGAGTCCCAAGTAGCTAAAAATTCCAGGTTATGTACAAATTTAGGGAAAAAACGAGTCAAACAAAATTAGCAAAAGATCCTAATTCCACAGAAGAACAGCTCTGTATTTAGTAATTACTGCTATTTTCTTTGTTTGCTTTTTAAAATCCTGCTATGATTATGGTCCAGAAGCCGAGGAGATGTTTGCCAACAAGGAGATGTTTGAGAAGGACCTCAAAGTTGTGGCTTCAGAAACAGTCTCTCTCACCTGCGAGGTGGCCCAAGCCAAGACAGACGTCAAATGGTTCAAGGATGGGAAATTGATCACCTCCAACAAGAAATTCAAGGTGGAAGCTGAAGGCAGATCCCGGCGTCTGGTTGTCCAACAGGTGGAGAAGAAAGATGGTGGTGAATACACCTGTGAAGCTGGAAAACAGAAATTGACCTACAAAGTTTTTGTTGAAGGTGAGAATAACAAACATGTAGAATGAATCAACATCGTAAAGTTTATCCAATTAGAAAGGCTGAATCTCTTTGCGATCTGTGTTGATCGTCTTGGTTGCTATTTGAGCATTCTTGAAATCTTTCTCCCTCTCTCTATCCCAGGTGAGTAGAGTGGAAATTATGTAGAAACAATTATGAAGTGGATGGGTAGGTAGGTGGACAGTCAGATACTTAGAAACATAGATGATACAGACAAAAAAAGACAGATAGACATAGAAGTGAATGAATATGATGTGCGAATATTTTTTGAGAGCGAGAAAAATAGAGGGGGAGAGAGAAGGATGGATGGATGAGATGATGAATGGGCAGGTACATAGATAGATAGACGCAGAGAGACAGAGAGATGGGCAGATAAACATAGATGGAGTTGAATGGATGAGATGATAAAGGAATGGATAGATAGGTAAGTAGAGACTGAAATAAGTTAAAGAGATTAACTTGTTATGCAAGTTGACAACATCTCTTTTCTTCCACATCACAGAAGCTCCTGAAGTCTTTACCAATAAGGACAAAATAAAGGAGGAAGTCAAGGCCGTCCTGAAGGAGAATGCCATTTTGACCTGCCAGGTAGCCACTTCGGACACTCAAGTGAAATGGTACAAAGATGGACAACCCATCCTCATCAGTAAAAACATTAAGATGGAGTCAGATGGAACCACCCGCAAATTGTATCTGGAGCAAGTGGCGACCAAGGACGTTGGACAGTATACCTGTGAAGCGGGTGGTCAGAAAGTGACCTTCAAGGTGGAAGTAACAGGTGAGATCTCTTCTCCTTTTCTAATAGTGTGTTGCAGTTGCTAAAAAGGCCAGTGTAGTCCCAGGTTGCATCGTCAGAAAGATAGTTTGAAGATCATGTGAGGGTGGTATAGGTAATCCCCCACATACGACCACAATTGAACCCGAAATGTATGTTGTTAAGTGAGACATTTGTTAAGTGAGTTGCCAAGCCTCTGAATTTTGATCACATGACCATGGGGATGCTGCAAGGGGTGTGTGAAAAACAGCCACTTTTTCTCTGTGCTGTTGTAACTTCGAATGGTCACTAAATGAATGGTTGTAAGTCAAGAATTACCTATATGTCTAACCTATTCAAGAAAAGGACTAGGGCTGACATGATAGCAGCCTTCCAATATTTGAGGGGCTGCCGCAAAGTAGAGGGTGTGTGTGTGTGTGTGTGTGTCAATCTATTCTTCAAAGCACCTGAAGGCAAAACAAAAGCAATAAATGGAAACTAATGAAGGAGAGAAGCAACCTGGAATTAAGGAGGAATTTCCAAATAGTGAGAACAATTAATCAGAGGAACGACTTGCCTCCAGAGGCTATGGGTGCTCCATCACTGGGTGTTTTCAAGAAGGGATTGGACAGCATTTGTGGTATAGGACTGTGACGGCATGCACTCTCTGTGGGCATGTGAGCTGTGACCCCAGCTCAGCTCCACCACACATGTGCATCTCCCGCCGGTCAGCTGGTCTTTGAGTCTTTGCTGTGCATGCATGGGAGGCAGGTACATGTGGGGGGGCGCACATGCATATGGGGGGGCACATGTGCATGCACGGGTGGGGTGGATGCATGGGGCCGTTTGCGTGTGTGCAGGGGGTGGTGTGCATCGCGTTTTGGGGATTTGGCTGTGTGCACACTCAATCCGGGTACTCAGTCTGGAAAAGATTAGCCATCACTGGTATAGGGTCTCTTGCTTGAACAGGAGGTTGGACTAGAAGACCTCCGAGGTCCCTTCTAACTCTGTTACATGCCTAAGTTACTTTGGCAAATGATCTCCTCTATTATATTACCATTCTATGTTCTATGAATTATTGATGGGAGGGAGGGTTGGATTCAACACTGACTTAACTACAGCCTCGCTTAGCAACAAAAGTTCCCATCCTAAGTGTTGTCGTAAGTTGTGGGCTTAGCTGTACTCATTTTCCCATTGCTCTTCCAGAACCAGAGGTCAAACTCCAAAGAAAAGTTGCTCAGGAGGAGACCATTGTTGCTCAGGAGCACAAGGAGGTTGTCTTCTCCACTGTGGTATCACCTGAGGATGCTGAGGTCAAGTGGTTTAAGGATGGAGTTGAGATCCAAGATGGTAAGAACTATGTGGTTAAGAAGGACAAGGCGGCTAGGACCTTGATTGTGAAGACGGCCGAAACCAAAGATGCTGGTCTGTACACCTGCGAAGTTAAGAGTGAGAAACAGCAATTCCAACTCAAGGTGGAAGGTGAGAGAACAATCAGAGGTGGCCATCCTGAAATGTCAAAGCAATTTGGTGAGAGTTGCAAGGCCAACTAACATGAGACAGAAACATCAGCTCCATCAAAGATGAAAGAAATCAACTCAAGCTCTTTCCAGCCCTAAAATAATGTGGGGGGGGGAGGTCAAGAGCTGTGTGAGTTAGTAGTTACTAGTTCTGTGGGGTCCTTGGTGGTCTTTGAGCTTGGGGTCTTTCTTGCAGGCATTTCATGACCCAATTAGAGAACATCATTGGTGCTAGAAGGGAGTAGGGTTTGTAGAAAGGAGGATATTGTAGCTTTAGGTTGAACTGTGGAATCCTTGGCTGTCTCTGAGCTGGGTTGGTTTCTTGCAGATATTTCTGCAGGAACATCATCAGTGATAGAAAGGAGGGGGGGTTGCAGAAAAGGGGGAGGAGGAGG